ATTAAATACAGGGACTTATGTTTGTTAGGCCAGAACTTTAACACTTGAGCCACACCTAAGGCCCTTTCAACATAAATTATTTTTAAGGTAGGGAGTTTAGCTTTATGCTTGGCCCAGCTTGGGTTTTGATTTACCTATTTGTACTTTACCATGTCACTGGGAATGACAGGCTCATGCCTTTGTGCTCAACAATTGGTTGAGATGGAGTCTTAGGATGTTTTGTTGTCTTGCTTGTCATAAGAGGGGTAGAACTCTCATGATCTCATGATCTATACCTCTCAAGTAGCTAGGATTACAAGTTTGAGCCACCATGCCCCTATGATGTATGTCTCAAGTGGGTTTTGTGCTCTTGTGCAATACTAATGATTTTATGATTCAAGTGATAATTTGAAGAGTATACATGAGTATTAGACAGGCTACTGTCTGTCACTCATTTTTGGAAGTAGGCTACATTTCACTTTGTAAAAGACATAAGTTAAAGAAAGTATTTGAAGTCAGTGGATTGTAATTATGCATGAAATGTGCAATTAATGCATGGTACATAGAAAATAAGATAATAAAGCAAGACAAAGTACAAATAGCAAAAAATCTTAATAATGTATATCTTTGCAAAATTTCCAACATAGTTCGCTCAACTGTATGCCTATATCGAGAAACCTAAACATGGCTAGAGAAAAGTCCTGACCTGTGGTAACACTGGTCCTTTGTAAGTTTATGACCACTAACTTGGTCTTTAATACTGCCTGGTTGTCATCCTTTTCCCCCCTGTCCCCCTTAAACCATCCTTGGTCCCTAAAGTATTTTATTCTTCTCTTCAGCTTTGACTATTTTCTACTGGCTTCCTATACCACTAAGAAAACAGAAGCTTAGAAGAGATACTTATTTGCTCCTTCCAGTAACCATATATACAAAGAATCTGAATATGTACTCCTAATATCTTTTTCCTTTGAAAGAAAGTTTATACTGGTGTCTTAAGTCTAAACAAACTCTATCCACTAAAGCCTCAAGGACTCAGTGATGTCATACTAGAATCTCTCATCTACATCATGAGTATCTCTCTCCTGTTTTGGATCTTTCCTGGAAGCATGTACACATACACTTTTCCTTATCTTAAAACTAACTTTTGGTATCTTAATATCCTTGACTTACTGTTACATTTTGTGATTTATGTCTTTTCATTTGTAATTATGTTTCTAGTCACCATTCTTACAAAACAGTTCTTGTTAAGATCATTAGTGATCTCACATTGTAAATCTACCAGTTGACCCTGAGTCTTTGTCTTTTTTTTTTTTTTTTTTTTTTTTTTTTTTTACTTTTTTTATTGTGAAAATACCATACAGAGGGGTTACAATTACATGGGCAAGGTAATGCGTACATTTCTTATCAAGCATTGTTGCCTCCTGTTTTGTTTCCCCTTCCCATCCCTTCCCATCTCGCGCCCCCCCCCCAACGCAACTCTCCCCCCCCAAGGTTGTAAAGTTCGTTTTTTGACATAACATCTTGTATATCTCATTGTTGTAATTTATCATAGATAAGATATGGAACCAACCCAGATGCCCCTCAGTAGAAGAATGGATCAAGAAAATGTGGTATATATACAAAATGGAATTCTATGCCTCCATCAGAAAGAATGACATTGCCCCATTTGTTAGAAATGGGAAGACTTGGAAAAAATTATATTGAGTCTTTATCTTCTTAAACTCATTTTCAGTATCTGATACAAGCATTTGGTTATTCCTTTCTTCTAGAAACACTTCATTAACTTATTTTCCACTATTATCCTAATACACAACCGGTCTAGCTACTTCTTTATATTATTTACTGCTTTTATTTTTTAATAATTTTTTTCTTATCCTAATAAGTTGTAAATATTTGAGTTCTCCAAGACTCAAATATCAGGTATCTATCCAAAATCACTTCTTTGGATGATCCTTTGTACTCTTACAATCTAACATATATTTGAACTATTCTTAAACCTTTGTCTCAAGCATTAATTAGTGATTGAAGATTTGTTTTTTTCCCCCCATCTATTTGGATTTTGATTAAGGCATCTCAAACAATATAGCCAAATACAAATTTCTGGGGTCTACATCATTTCTCTCTATTTCATATAATATCTGTCTACTTCTAGCGACTCAGAGAAAACTCTTGGAGATATTCTCTGTGGTTATAAAAGTGTGTGTGCCAGCCAGTCCTGGGGCTTGAACTTAGGGCCTGGGTGCTAATCCTGAGCTTTTTTTGCTCAAGACTAGCACTCTGTTGCCTAAGTCATAACTCCACTTTTTGGTAGTTAATTGGAGAAGACAGTCTCATAGACTTTCCTGCTCCGACCTAGCTTCAGATCTTTGCCTCCTAAGTAGCTAGGATTATAGATGTGAACCCTAGCACCTGGTTGTTGCAGATTTCTTTACTTTTCTTTCTTCTACCTCTTAAATCTAATATATCAAGAAATCATGTTAGCTCTACTTTTAAAATATTCAAAATTTTTTATCACTTCTCATCTATCTCTTATAGTTTTAAAAATTTTATTTTATTGTAAATGTGTGTGGCTAAGAGGTGACTATTACATGCACTGGCATCAGTGTTTTGTACTTGTTATTATTATCATAATTAGACAAACTGTTGCCAGAGGTTTGTATAATTCTTATTTCCTTCCTTTAGATCTTTACCCAAATATGACCTTTAAGGAGGGCCATTTATTCTACATAGAGTAGTAAAAACCTTCTATAGTTGCCTTAATTTATTTTTATTATACTTGAAACTATTTGACATATTGCATTGACTTAGACAGCTTTTATAATATCTCTATACTGAAATGTTAGAATAAAAGTTAGTAGCCTTCCATGAAAGTAGCCATTTGATTAATTTTGTTCATATTTCACTATACCTATGTGATAAGATCTTGATAAATACTTGTTGAATGAATAATGGATTAATATAGGTGTGAGTTTCTATTATTCTGGTTAATTTTCAGTCTGATGATTATTTAATTTTAAAGCATTTTCATCAATGACCTCTTAAAATAATTGCTTTATCTTTTATTTTACTATTGCTATATTTGGTATGTTTTAGGGTATATTATAGTTTCTTAATGAAACAAACTTACATGGTTCAAATGTGATGATGATGATGATGATGACTTTTGTCGCTTGTGGAGTTTGAACTAAGGCCTGGCTGTGGTCTCTTTAGCTCAGTGCTGACACTCTACCACTTTGAGCCACAGTGCCACTTCCAGTTGTCTTGTGGTAAAAGAGCCTTTAGTGTGTGTGTGTGTTTCAGTTGTTTTTGTTTTGTCTAGGTAATTGTATCTTCATTGAACTAATGTATTGGTATGTGTAGGTTCATGTGTTTTGGGTTTTTTTGTTACATCTTGAGAGAGAGGGTTGCTGTTACTGCTATTCCTTTCCTCTCCTCCTCTTTTTTCTAATACTATTTTATCTGTAGAAATTTGATGGTTGTCACTGAATTGTCAACTTCAGCTCAACCTGCCTTTCTGAGATAGATTTTATATTGGTAACTTTGGAATCTTTACCAAAAGTAACACGGGGATTCTGTTGTATTCAGTCAGTGCTCCAGCTGAGGGGTGTTTTGATCCAATTTCTGATTCAGATGCTATGCATATAAACATTTGCAATTTTAGACTTTCATATAAACCTTACTTGTTAGCAAAGCTAGGCAGAAGCTTTTTCCAGCTTCCTCTCATGAGTTTCAGGAGCCTTATCCTCGTTTGTATTTCAAAGTATAGCCTATGTTCTACATGACCAAAGCATTTGTCTCCAAAGCCCAGCTCCTTCCCACTTCAGCTAGCATCAGAACCTGAAGGACAGCAAATAGCATCTCTAATCCTAACTTTGTATTTCTGCCTAGTTTGTGATCCTCAAGGTATTCTTACGCAAGATAACTTTATGTCTTCAGTTTTTTTTTGCTTTTTTTCTACTAGAATACATTTAGAGAAGTAAGGGAACTTCAAATGTGAATTAATGGTTATTAGAAGCCTAATTTAAGTACTTTTATAAACTGTTATTACCTCTGACCTTGTAACTCATATGGTATATTTTCATGATTGATGTCCCTTCTGCTATCTCCTTGTGCCTTCTAAGGGATTTGCTGTATATCACTTTCGCTTTACTTTGAGTGTATTTTTTCTTTACTTGTACAATCTGTGATACATGGGAGAATTATTCCACCACTTTCTTTTTGTTTTACCTATTTTTCAAGTTTTTAAAAATGGTCCAGTAAAATTTCCCCAGTTATGAGGTAAATTAATGAGTGGAAGCCAGATTGTATTACCTCTTCAGGCCTTTCTTTGTTCCTTTTTCTTCTCTTCCTTTTCTTATTCAAAGATATATTTATTTTTAGAAGGTAATAGTTATTTATATTTGTTGGGATTTTCTTTTTTTTTTAGAGAACTATGCTTTGATTTTAAAACTATAGTTTAGTTAGTAGTATTCTTAGAGACTAGAAATACATAGACAAATGTCAGAAATTCAAAATTTGTAGTCATAGAATACTGCTTATGAATCAATCTCTGGACCTCTCTTTTTTAAGACTTAAAAATGATAGTATTTTATCTTTTTGTGTATGCATAAAATATATTAACAGGAACATATTTACTTATTTATTCATTACTTTTAAGTGATGACTTTATGGTCATTATAATAAAATTTGAGTTGACTTTTTTATATAGCTAAGTCTAGAAATGAACTGTTCTTTTAGTATGAAGTTGTCTTCATGGTCAGCAGTGATAAGTTGCTGTCACTTGCCACAAACTTTGTGAATTCTGAAAGGAATATCAATACAAGATAGTTTAACTTTGTATATGTTGAAGCTACATTTACTATCAGGATATGAACATTTAAAAGATGAGATATGTACTGGGACAGTGTTAAAGTGGTATAGTATGCATGAATCCTTGGGTTTGATGTTTAGTATTAAGGAAAAAAAAGGAATAGATAGCAATTATAAATAATAAACTCTCAACATACATTTTTTCATTTTAGAGAAAAACAGAGATCTGAAGCCAAAGACAGAAAAGTTCTAGAAATTCTACAAGTCAAGGATTCTAAAATACAGGAAATGGAACAGGTTGGTGTTAAAAATTATTAAAAATTAGCATGTTTGGTTCAGGCGATAGGTCGTTAAAAGTTATTTGAAATTTTTTCACAATAATATAAAAATTGTTATAAAATCACTGTTTTGAGATAATTAAAATCTAATTGTTATTATACTTTGATTATAGCATATTTGTTTTCTACAGTAATATTTATTCATTCAAACTGTTAAGGTAATGTTGAAATTTTAATAGTATTTATTATTTATATTTTTATTGTAGCTTTTCTTATGAGCATTTGTCAGTTCTGAAATTTATGTATGTTCTTGAGTCCAGTTATAGCAAAAATCAGCAAAATGGGATGATCCTCTGTTATCTTTTTGAAACTTGCATGTATGCATTACTCTAATTCTGTCTTTTGCATATAATCTGGAAATTATACAATAATATACAATTTTACGTATATGTAATTTGTATGTAATTTATAATCAGTACATTATTATTGCAATGGTGTGTGTGGCCAGGGCTTCCAGGAAACATTTCCAAAATTTAAACATTTCAAAAACAGTAGTAAAAATTTTTTTCTTTTTTTTTTTTTTTTGGTCCAGTTGTGGGGCCTGAAGTCTGGGCCTGGGCACTGTCCCTCAGCTCTTCAGCTCAAGGCTAGCGCTCTACCATTTGAGCTACAGCGCCACTTCTGGCTTTTTTCTTTTCGCTTATGTGGTGCTGAGGAATCGACCAGGGCCTCAGGCATGCAAGGCAAGCGCTCTACCACTGAGCACCTTCCCAGCCCAAAATTTTTTTCTTTTAAATGGAGGTTCTGTAGTCTTACAGCAGTTATGCTTTTTTAACTTTTGATTGTGTTTTCTAATCAAAGAATTGTAAAAACTTTGATATAGAGGTGGTTATTGTTCTAGATAAAAGTGATAATTAATTTAGATAAGAGATTCAATGGTTTTCTATTGCCTTCATCTTTCTAAATTGTTTTTGAAGTGTAATATAGATTTCAGTATGACACATAGATTTGAAATTTGCACTTACCCCACGACTGTATTTTTATCTAAAACAAAACCATAATTGTTACTAGAATAGTTTTGGCATTCTTTGTAATGCTCTGATGTTAACTTTGCACTGCTTTTGTAAATGTTCTTCTTTTTTCCATAGAAACAATATCATACATTGTTAACATTCTTATCACTGTGACAAAGTACTTGACAAAGCAACTTTATGGTGGGAAGATTTATTTTTATTCATGTTTCAGAGATTTTAGTCTATTATTGTAGTGATTGTGGTATAGCAGAGGTGGCCAGGAAGCACAAAGAGAATGCAGGGGCTAGCATGTTTTCTCCTTTTCCCTTTCATTCCATTTGGGACCCCAACCTATTGGACAGTGCTGTCCATATTTAGGGCAGATTTCCTTTACCTTATCCATTTTGGAAATATGCCACTTCACATACATACCCCTCCCATTTTCCCTCTCTTCCTCCTTTCTTCTTTTTCTCCTTTCCTCCCTTATTTTATTCCCTCCCTTCTTCCTGGGTATGTATGTGAAGTGAATCAAGATGGCTAATCAAAAATAACCATCACAATTCTACCCTTGTATGCTTTGACACCCAAATATACATCTTCTTAGACCATAACATTCCACCACATGAGTCTATGGGAGACATTTCTTATTCAAACCATAACATTCCAGCTCAACTCCAAAAGGTTCACTTCTGTCTCATAAAGAAAAATGTATTTAGTTTATCTCCAAGAGTCTCCATAGTCTGCATGGTTCTAGCATTGCTTAAAAGTGTAAGTTTTAACTATCTGCTGGGATTCAAGATTAATTGAGTGCCTATTAAAATCAAAAGGAAAATTAAATAATTCAGGTCTACAATGGCACAGAATACATATTTCTGTTCCCTATGGTGGCATAGAAACTGGGATGGCACCAAAGCAAGAACAGTACTCAGGAAGGCAAATTAAGCCCATAGCTCCATATCTAGCATCTATGCCCCAAGGACTTGGGCAGTCCTGGTTGGTTGAAGCCTACAGGATCTCTCTTAGGCCAGTTCTGCCCACTGTCTACAGTATATTTTGGCAGATGTTTCACATTTCTTGCATATTGTAAGCTTCTTTGCCTCCATTACATTTTGTCTTCACTTTCATAGCTTCCTGCCTTGCCCCTTCAGGGGCTTCCTGACATGAATGTTGTCTAGCCTCTCTGGACTATCTTCAAAATATGGTGGAAGCCTCAGTGACCCTGTAACTCTTTCATTCTGTATCTCTGCAAAATGGGTGTCATTTGGGATGTCAAGGAAATGTATATTTCCTTGTTGTAGTGCAGTTTTTGGCTCCTCCCTCTTTCCTTCCCCCCTTCTCCCCCTTCCTCCCTCCCTCCCTGCCTCCTTCCTTCCTTCCTTCCTTCCTTCTTTCCTTTCTTCCTTGCTTCCTTCCTTCCTTCCTTGCTTGCTTCCCGCCTGCCTGCCTTCTTTCCTTTCTCTCCCTTTGCCTCTTTCCTCCCTCCCATCTTCCCTTCCTCCTTTCCCCCTTCTTACTCTCTCCCTTCATTTCCTCCCTCCCTCCCTCCTTCCTTCTACTGGGCTTGAATTCAAGGTTGTACAGTTTTGCTTCATTTTGTGTGTGTGTGTGTGTGTGTGTGTGTGTGTGTGTGTTCTGGGGCTTGAACTCAGGGCCTGGGCAATGCCTCAAAGCCAGTATAGCTCTACCACTTGAGCAGTAGCTCTACTTCTGCTTCCTGGTGGTTATTTGGAGACAAGTCTTACAGACTTCCCTGCCCCATCTGGCTTCAAATCTTGATCCTCAGTTCTCAGCTTCCCAAGTAGCTAGTGTTACAGATGTGACCCTGAACACCCTTTGCTCAAGTTTTTCATTCATTTCATAATACTTGAGGCATACCTATAGTCTGTATTAGGCTGACTTTGAACAGTTAAAATTGCTTCAACAGCTATACATTACTTTTCTCAACTTTAAAGGTGTTCATTTTCTATGTACATTAGAAATTTCCAAATTGTCTTGCTTTGCTTATTGATCAGAATTATCATGATAACCCTAACTAAAAGTTGTTAGCAATAGATGAGATTCAACTATTATAAAGAGCTTGAAATTTCTTCTACCAAATTGCTTTGTCTCCTTTAAACTCATCCTCCCACAAAATATCAGGACATGGACAAAGGGTATCTTTGTTAGAATATAACACAAATACCTTCTGGTCATATTCTCAAATTAGCCATCATTTATATCCGAACCCTCATAAGCATAGTCTTTACTGTCTATATTACTTAACATTCTGATCTTATGAGCTCCCATGAGACTCTTCCACAGTGTTCTAAGGCTTCTTCTGTCTGTATCTCTAAACTTTTAGAACTTCTCCCCAAACCAGTTCCAAAAAGTTTCTGAACCATACTACATGTTGCTTCAGGTAGTCAGCAGTGGTGACTTCACCACTTCACATATCAATACCTGATGGAAACAACTTAAGGAACTTTCAGAGATTCCATCACAATAGGGTGGGCATGATTGAGAAGAGTAGATCTCCTCATGGTAACCAGGAAGCAGAGTTATTTAGAGTGTTTTTTTTTTCTTATTTCTTTTTTTTTTTTTTTATTCCATCTACACTTCTAGCCAATAGGATGGTGCTGCCTATGTTTAGGATAGCTTCCTCTCCTTAGTTGATTCTCTCTCTAAAAACACTTTTATGGACAGACCCAGATTTCTTTATACATCTTCTAGAAGATTATTAGTACAATAAAATTGACAATCAGGATTAACCATTACACATACAGCTAGCCTGAGTTAGTCATAGATTTATAATGTGCTTTTCAACAAGTGCTATCAAGAAAATAAAAGAAATTTTAAAAATGCAAATTCCAAATTCCTATATTTACATTACACAGTTCAATTGATGTAGAGAAATCCTTAAACTTAGATTATCATCGGTTATGTATGAATCACTATATTTCCTACTGAGTGTTCTTGTATCCTTAATTTTATAAAAATATGCCTCCTTCAAGTGCAGTAGTATAACTCTTCGAAAATTTAATTTATATACCAAGAAGTTGAACATGTGTTGTTGAGAAGGTATAGAGATCAAGAGATGGTAGGTCTGGTGAAGGGAGAGGGGAAGGGTAGGTGAATACAGTTACAATACTCAATATACATATGTGAAAGTGGAACCAGCTATCTTGGAGGGTGTGTGTGGGTTAGGAGAGATAAGAAAGAATGATAGAAAGGGCGATATTTATTAAAATATCTTATACTCATAATTGATGCCCTTTAGTTTTACAACTGCTTAAAGTAACTAAAAAAATAATAAATATCTCTCCTGAATAGCAAATAATGCCCCAAAGTAAGGTAAAGTTATGGAAATCCTTCCAAGCCAGAGAGATAATATAATTTCTTAATTAAAGATAAGAAGTGAAAATTTTAGGCTTGTTGAAAGGTATTATGTCTTTTTAGTGAAAGTTGGGTGGCATTAAGGGAAAATGAATCAATCATTCTTAATTCAGTACTGAACTGGATGCACTCTGGGCATTTGTATTATTTTCTCAATGGCAGTTTCTTTGGAACCATATACCTACAGATAGCAACAGTTTACTGTACTATTAAAATTATTTGACTTTTACTGGGTGCCAGTGGCTCATGCCTATAATTCTAGCCAATTCTAGCTTCTCTTTTCTGGAGGGGGCAGAGAGGGGGTTCTGATAGTGTTATGATTAGGTCTTCAATTTTATTGAGCTTCTAGACTGTTACTAACATAATGTTTCTTAGTTTTCTCTTATGTCTTTCCTTCCTCAGGAGAGATACAAAGACAAGATTATGTGAAGGTAAGATTATGCTTGTCTTTGGATATTTCCATTGGTTAGGTTCTAGTAAAACCCTATTAAACTGGCCTCTGATAAGCCAGTTTCACATAAGGGCTGGTCTTGTTTAAAAAAAAATTCTCTGTATTTTAAAATGACTACTTTTTCACTTCCCTGCTGGCAGCAGAAAGGGATTTTTCTTCTATCTTCTTTGTGACAGTGTTCTT